AATCCTACGTAAATAGGACAGTAAGGGAAACCGATAAGTGAATAAGGTTAATATCAAAAATGTCCAACGTCTTGACAGTGGATCGCACGAGCGATGATGAGTTGACATCCTGCGTTGTGTCCGTCACGTTAGAACAAGCAATGCCGTAAAGGGACGGTTACGAGGGTGTCAAAGGTTACTTAGTCTGAGACCTTGACAGAAACTCACCGTTCGCTTCTATCGGTATAAGCCTCATTATTTTCAACCACCCGGACGGCCCTATTAATGTGGTGTTAACACCAGCTCAATCAACTAAAATGTGGACAATGACTTTGCCTTATGGATTCGCTTGCGTAAGGCAAGATTAACAGAATACCTATTATTAACATCCGTTTGGGATCTGATATCTCGTTAATAACACTTAAATTCCTTTATTCAGTGAACAAGGCTTTAGCAGTAGTAATTCTGAAAAGTGTACAATTCAGTGGATCGCACAAGTGCAAACAGCAAGTCATCTGTATGTGCGCGCCAGACGCAAGCTGTCTTAATTGATGCAATCTTGATCATGTATATAATATTTTTTTCCGAAAATGAGTAGCTAGTTTGAATTTAAATGTTTCAACAGCATCTCGAAGATTTGAAGCATTTTACCCCTTGTATGAATTTTAAACGCGCGTGAACAACAGAGTTTGCTGGTACCAACAAACATCGCGACAGGTTAGCAACTGCAGACTGTCGCTACAAACCACAGACAGCATACAGCAACTTAAACTTGTACAGAAAATTAATCCGAGAACAGCAGGATCATTTTTCACATCACACAGTTAAAACAATGGAAAGGTCGACTTAAAAAGCCGTAGAAGAAAGAGGAGGGAAAGCTAGCGCTCAAAAAGTAGTGTGTAAATAAAAAGAGTGGGGATTACCAGTGAAATTTGAGGTTCAGCCTGTGGTCTAAGCGTCTGCATAGGTTGGGTTTATTTCTTCATTTATATGCTGCCTCCGAGTAAGTAAATAATAAATCGTTTTATTCAGCATCTATAGGCAGACATTCATGGCAAGTTAAAATACATTTTCAGGTGAACTTTAGAATGAGTAGGCAAACACTGTAGTGTTGTGCCTATAAATTAGGCAATCTGGTATTAAGAAAACTGTTAGCGAACAGTGAGAAAACCCCTTCGTTTTTCGAAAAAGGCAAAATGAATGTGATTTGATTATTTTTTAAGAAAACTGTCGTCCATGGGAAGGAAAATATGCAAGTTGGCCAAGACCTTACCGCAGATGAGAGCATATGAGGCGCCCAAACCCTCCTAGTCAAGGTAGAATTCCTAAACCGGATGAGGCTATGTGTTGCAGATACGATGCTGATATTTTTGAGATGACAGCTGGATTAACCATCAAGGTGGCGAGACAGGAGGATCTCAACGCAATCGGTCACAGTCCGCTCAGCGTCCAACCGAGGAGGACACATTCAAGATTGCGATGGCCATCAAAGCGCGTGAAAATGCGACCATGGTACTTTTTGCTGGCTAACCAAACTACTGGCAGAGGGCGAAAATAGAGAAATTCGCCCTGGTCGCCAACAGATCTTTTGGGATCGAAATGAGGAGATGACATCGAAAACCGCGAAAATCGTATCTGCAAGGTAGGAGTAATATTAGTGGATTTAGCAGCTAATGAAAAACCTGGGTTGTAAAAATCTGAGTGTTTTCAGTTGAACAGGAGAAGTGCGTGGTATCCGTCGTTAAATCCCATGAAGACCCTCTTTAAAGTTGATACATTGAGTGTTCTGGAGGGGAACTGTCAACAATGACTTTATGCTTTCCGAGGCAGAGTCCTAATGTAGTTTCGATTGGAATGCCGATAATGTGGGCGATGACGTAAGTTCTAATGATAGATTATTCCAAAGGAAGGCACATTTTGATGCAAAAAGAGGGACCACAAAGACGTAGAGTCAATATGCGGCGTATTCAGTGTGGAGGAATTGCGCGTTATCTAGCACTGAGCCCCCGAAAAGAGAGTGACAGTAGTACGAAAATTCGAGTTAGAGTTAATTTCAAACAGTAAGTAAAGGCCATCTTCGAGTCTTCTAACTCCTCTCTCAAGAGAAGAAATACCAAAACCAAACTTGAGAGTAGAATTTTGGAGTGAAAACCCTCTGAACATTTTCGATTTCATTAGGGCCACAGGCGTCCCTTAAACCAAAGAAAGGACAGGAGCAATTGAGGACGGGGAGAACAAATATTTTATAAATTCGTACCTTCATTTCCGAGAGGAAATAATTATGCGATAGGAGTTCACATATCTGCGCGGCCTTGGCAGAGATTCTATCTGCATGAGATGATAAAGCAAGTTTATTTGTATAATTGAAAACTAGGTCCTTTATGATGAAGCAATCTGAGAGTGGGTCATTCTGAAAAATTATGGGACCAGGAAGTTTGGCAGCACCATAAGACATTAAACTACACCTGGATGACGAAAACTCCGTCTGCCATTTTGAACTCCACCTTCACAAGCATACGGCATCGGAAAAAATTTTTCGGACGCAAATATTTACGGTGCCCTTATAATATGGGTAAACACACTTGAGGTCATCGGCATAAGTAACTGTTCGCTAATTTTTGCTTTCAGTCGAAGTATCATTGGCGTGTAGAAGAAGGGGTAGTGGCTAAAGTGCGCCATCTTGTCAAAAGCTATGTTAAGGTCAAAATAGATACCCACAACTGACTGCTGTTCATTACGAAGAGATGGGAATAGATGAGTAGGGGCTAAGTGACAAGTTTCACAGGATCTTTCAGATAAAGACCCATACGGAGAAGAGCTCAGGAAATAATTAAAATAGACAGAAATCAAGAATCCCATTGCAAAGTACCTCTTCAGGGGGATTTGCCAGAGACGGGTTTTTATGCACGCCCGAGAGTTATTAACATCGGATGAAGATCCAGACACGAAGATTGGAAGGATAATTGGAGTATTTCCTATTTCCGGGAAAAAACTCTCGAAATATACACCGAGAATATATGAATAAGCAATAAGGTCCGATGCCTGTTTGATAGTCGAATTTGAAATACTGTCCGTTCCCAAAGCAGTGTGCGTTTTTTAAACGATTTGCCTTTTTTAACTTAGGTTACGGGGAAACATTGACTGTACTGATTGTTTATCCGAAAGCGAACAAAAGAAAGTAACTGTTTCGTAGTCACTTATGAGGTCAGTATATTTTAAGGGTAATAGAGAATGCCTTTTAAAACCCCATTGAAAACAGCAAGTGCAATATGTAACTTTAAATAAACACGGTACTGAAATTCGGTCGGTAGTATGTACATTCTACGTATTATCGTCCTTAAAAGTGCCGAACTGAAACTCGAGGACACTCAGTTGTAGACGATAACGGTAAAATGGTATAACAGAGCTGTTCTATCCAGATAAGCGGTATTTTTCAAGCAAATATACATCTAGTCTTCGTTTAAATATCTCCGTGGAATCCGACATTATCACGTCCTCGAGAAGCCCATTCCAGGCACCGACGACTTACTGTGAAAAAGAGTACCTGCGAACGTCCAGACGGCATCAGGATCTTCGAGGTTTAAGAGAGCTCCCACGCGGTTTTAGTGTTGTGGCCAAGGTGAAGAAATCATCGAGGTGTACGGCGTAGGCCCGGTTTCTCAGTATCCGATACGCCTGTATGAGATCTCCTCGGATCTGCCTGTTCTCAAGGGGGCATAAGTCAAGCTCACCAAGTCCGCAGCTGCAGAGTAAAGTCTTGAGACCTTCCACAATTTTTGTCGTTCTCCTCTGAACTCTTTCCAGCAACTTATGGTCTTTTTTCAGCCACGGCGCTACATTTGGATTCCATATTCCAGATGCGAACGAATGAACGCTCCGTATACTTTTCCAAATAACTCCTTGTTTATGTCTATGAAAGTTCGTTTACTGGCAAAGAAAACACCGGTCGCCCTTTTGGCCGCCCTCAGGCATTGAGAGGAAGGCGCAAGAGCCGACAAGATGTTGATCCCAAGATCCCTTTGTTTGGTCAAGTTTGAAAGGCAGCTTCCGTCAAGCCGGTAATAGCGATCCTCTCCATCGGCACTGCCATTCGTTTAGCGTCACAATGCGACGCACTTCTCAAGGTTACACTTCAGCAGCCATTTGTCACACCATTCGAATAGGCTGTTCAGTCCTTCTTGAAGGGCTTATTCATCATTTTACCCGTCGATCACTCGTCATAACTTGATGTCATGAGCAAACATGACTCCATTTCAGTCCAGTCGTTGACATAAATTAAAAACAGCAATGGTCCAAGCACAGAGCCTTGGGGAACTCCACTCACGATTGGCACTGGCGTTGTCTTCGCACTACCAGTGCACACAGACTGTGATCGGCCGGCCAGAAAGTCCTTTACCCAGTTAAATGGGTATCCCTTATCAAAGACTCTCCGACCTTGAAAGGTAATGGGCATTAGGGGACACTGTCAAAGACTTTCTTGAAATCAATGTAAATGATATCGACCCTTGTTCCTATGTCTAACGAGCGAGGCCACTGTTCCATTGAATAGAACATATTAATTAGCAGGAGAGATTTCGTCGAATGTCATGTTGGGAATTAGCAAACAAATTCCTTTCTTCAAGGAACTTCATACTGGTTTTTTGACTATTCTTCCCATAACTTTGCAGTAAATGCACGAAGCTCACCGGCCAATAATTGTTTGCACATGTTATAGATCCTTCCTTGTAAATGGGATATATGATCGCCACATAGCAATGAAAAGAGAGAATGCCTCGGTCATAGGATAAGTCCGCAATTTGCAAAAGCGGTCTGGCGAGTTCGCAAGCCAGCTCCTCCAGAACATTTGCCGGAATTTGATCCGGACGCAGAAACTTACACTTCTCAAGTGCTAAAAGTTCCTTCTTCACTTCTTCTTCCGTGAGGTCAATGTCTTCTATTATTTCGTCGGTTGTTCCAGTAGACAAGCCAGCCTAGTTAACGTTCATTTTATCGGTGAAAACAGGTACGAAAAACCCGCCAAGATGTTCTGCCTTGGCGTCATTTTCGATGACGTCCTCATTGTGTTCCCATTTCAACACTTAGAGTATGTCTTTGTTCTTTAGTCTGCTGTTAGCATAACTGCAGAGTACTTTTGGCTCATCGACGACACGTTCCATACTTCGCGTTTTATACTCCTTCAGCGACCCGCGGATAGTCGATCTTACCTCGTTTCGATTTTGGCGAAACCGCTCATAATGAGATGGTTGTTTTGTTGTTACATGCCTTCTCCGTAGTCTGTTCTTCCGTTTTACCTCATTCTTTATATCCTGCGTCATCCAGGCAGGCTGATTAGTCGGTTCCGCAGAATAAAGTGAGCTACAACTCCTTTGAGAGTGTTCCAATCAACATCTGGATGTCCAGTAAGAACGCCATGCCAATTCACTACCAATAATTCAATTCTCATGGCGTCAAAATTTCCTAGCCAGAAATTCGGCCGAAGGTCAGTCGTATCCATTTGTTGGCCGCATAAGCGGTATTCCCGAAACAACATGACGCGGTGCTATGCACCTAAGTTTTGTAAAGAATACACTAAACGGCTCCGCCTTGTTTGTCTAATCGGTGAGGGAGATTTTTTATTGTCGTTTAGCAAGGGTGGAATTTCGTGACCACGCTTAGAGGAAGACTGATAACGGATTTGGCAGGGTTCAGGTCGCTGAGAGCAAATGATTTTCAGCGCCTGTCACGCGTTCGACGCATCTTCGAGGCAGCGCAGTATCCAAGTTGTTCTTACCCGAACAAGTACACGCGATGTTGTTTTGGAGTCAATACGGTGACCATTACCAAAAAGGGTGTTTTTGTGCAAGAAAAGCGGACGAGTATATTCTGCTGCCCTAGAAGGAATTTCGACAATCACACAAGTGATCTGGTTGCCCGTATTCCTTGAGTAGACAACCAAGAATCCGTTCTGTGTCTTAGCGACTTTATGGGAAAAGGCGCTCCGACGGACGTCCGTATGGGAAAAATTCCTCTGAAGGGGTTTCCCAGAGTCCACGTCATGCATTCTGAAGGAATGGGTGACCCAGGCCTAGATCTTCATGAATACGCCAGTGCTGTCCTCAAAGATGGGAAAATTTTCGTCGTGAAAAAAGCTTCCGACCAGACAAAGCATACTCAGACCGTGACCTAATGACATCCCGAAGGCCCCTAAAAGTTACTTTCGAAAAGCAAACACAGGCAGCTATCCTGCAGGAAGGGAAAATGACCTTACGAAACTCGCACAAAGAAGTATTTTTTAACCGGACTACGAACCAGGGAAAAGATTGAAAATGAGGGAACTGAGGAGAGAACCGAGGAAGAAAATTAGTAGAGGGGAGAAGGATCTTAAAATCGAAAACGGTCAAAAACCGGGCCAAGGAGTCTTTCCTGCAGCCAAAACCCGTCACAATGAAGGCTGGTCCTCTGCAACGAAAGGATCGCTAGGGGCTATCTACACGAATATACGAAGCCTATTCAACGGATTGGATGAAGTGAGAAATTAGTTGATGAAATTAAACCAGGCATTATGACTTTTACAGAAACATGGTCTTTTGCTGATATTGCAGATTCAGAAATATTACTTAGAGGATATGAACAGTTCAGGAAAGACAGACCAATCCAAAGAGGAGGTGTCAAGATTTATGTCACATGCAAGCTGATCGCTATGGTTGAGGTAAATATTTTGGTACCGGATGCAAGGCTGTTGGTCATCAGCATAGCTACTAAATATATCGGACAAATAACGCCTTCAGTGGCGTACCGTTCGCCTAACCAGACTTTCCACCACGATCTCCGATCAAAAACTACTACAATAACCGACGGACAGACGCCTCTCCCAGGATGTCACTTTTAAAAAGCGGGCTGGAAAAGGACAGCCACTGAACAACCTTGATGTTATCTTTAACTGAGAGGAGGAAAATGTGCTAGACCTGCAGGACCAACCGGCATTAAGATTAAGCGATCACCTTACGCTGTACTTCGGGTAGTCACTGTTTTCTACACTAGTTTTGCCTGATAGATGGAAGAGAAACGATTAGAATGGGGACTACCCACTTATGAGAAGAAAGGCGTCAGTAGTATCATGGTAACAGAACGGCACGTTGGTGCAACTGACATTTGGAGTGCCTTTAGTTCCTGAGTGAAAATACTTGTTAACCTCTAATGTCCTCTGGGAAAAAGTCAGTTACAAACCGCCACATTGCGTAAGCTCGAGCTTGCAAGCCTCTTTCAAACAAAGTCATCGCTTTTTGATGTGCTACAGACTAGCCGGCTCCGATAAATACCTACAGAAATGTAAACAGCAACATAAAATTTGCAACAGCGGGGTACCAAACAGCGAAGGAAGGTCGAACTGAACATACTGCAGAATTCGTTGGAACGCCCAAAAGTCTATGTGGTTACATAAGGAGTACTTGAAAAATTTAGGTATTGGTACCTACACTTTGGGCTGCAGACGGAAAACTGGACACCGACAAACAGGCTGAAGCATCTCCCTTTTCAGATTTCTTCTGGTCCGTCTTCATCCGAAGACCCAATCCTTTTTGTCTCTCCACCCGTTCGCCAACCAGTTTCTCCCACCTTCGACCTCCTCCTCCTCCTCCTCCTCCTCCTCCTTCTTCTTCTTCTTCTTCTTCTTCTTCTTCTCCTCTTCTCACTCCTCATCCTCCTTCTCCTTCTCCTCCTCATTACAGGAAGCATAATTTTCATTGGCAATTAAAGCCTGCCAAATCGTCTTGTCCGGCCAGATTTCCTGCAATAGCACCTCAAGAACTTACTAGTGGATTGGGAGAATCACTGTCCATAATACTCTAAAAGTCATTTGAAGAAGGCGAGATCCCCGGAGAATGGAAGTGTGCATTTATCATCCCTGTCCATAAAGGAAGTTCACGACTTGACTGTAAAATTTATCGTCCTGCTGGTCTAACACGCATCGCATGCAAAGTAATGGGGCATATTCTCAAAAGATGTTTAATGGGATAACTAAAAAAAGAGCAAAATATTGCCTTATATCCAACATAACTTTCATGCGAGACGTTATTTTTTGACGAATGTTCTTTTCTCCCATGAGAAATGAACAGAGGCTACAGGTAGGGGTTAGTCGGTAGATGCCATTTTTGACGTTAAAAGGGCCTTAGATAGCGTGTCTCACTGATTTATTTTACAGGAAATTTGGAATTTAGGAATCCAAGTAAGAATTTTTACATGGATGAGGAGTTTTCTTTCCTCCAGACTACACTAATTCTACTTCAGAATGGACAAAAGTGGAAAGTGGCATTCCACAGAACTCTGTTTTAGGCTCACCACTCTTCGTAATTTATGCGAATTATTGCACCATCGAACTGGATTGTGAGCCCCTCATGTTTGCGGACAACATCCAAATATTATATGAAGTCAGTTTTGTTGATTACGCAAAGAAGTTGCAGTCGATCACCGACAAACCGAGTGTTTGGTCAAACAGATGGCTTTTAAAATTTTGATGTATCCGAATGCGTGGTCCTCCATCAAAACGCCGACTGAAATGTCTCTCCCAAACAGCAGTACTACATTAAACAGACGGCATTATAATATGCAGAAGGGCACCGTGGTTTGAGCGTATGGACGACCGAAAATCCAATGCCGTTATAACACTGCAAGAAGGTGGTTCAGAAGGCGACTACTACTCTACACTTGATCGGACGTGCATTTAAAGCGGTTCCTCCTGAACTCTTTTGAAGACTTTTCGCTGCCTTTCTAAGATCGCACCTGCAATATGGACTGTCAGCAGCTTCACCATGGGTGAGATGGAATATTGACCCCCTATAACAGGTATGACGCAGAGCAACGAAGATATTGGATGGTCTAAAGCACTTTTCGAGCCAGGAGAGGCTGCATGTGCTTGGTTTATTCCCTCTATCATGTGGACAACCAAACTGTAGTCCATTCTGGACATTCCGGATTGGGCATGGCCATGGTTGCTCATTAACCCCGGAGGACTTATTTGAGCTTGCCCCTACAAGCCAATTATTCGGTCATTCGTACAAGATCAAGAACGAACGCATGCAGCTAGACAGTGAGAAGTTTCCTCTCAGTAAATGGGCTGTCTAAACCATGGAACTCACTACCACGTGGGATGGCTGCTGCCAACACGACTGCCATGTTTAAAAGAAAATTTGCTCGCGTAATTTGTGACAAAGAACGTCCTTTGCAACGTGACTACTAACAGCCAGCTTTGTAAAACACTTTATCGTCCCCAGTCCATTCATGCTGAGTCGAAGTGTGCAGAAGAGATTTCTTTTGCTAATGTCGTATCTTGAACCGACCACATTTGAAATGTTTGAAACGTCATTCTACGTGTGGGCTTGCGAAATTATTGTACAAAGATATGATGATCAGAAGCTCTGCCATAACCCTTTAGATATAAATGTAAAAGTTTGAGAAAAAACACAAAAGTAATGCACGCTAGCAAAAGTTCAAACGGATGGTCGTGCAGGTGATTTGTCTTAGCCAGTCTGAGGAAGTCATCGAAGTTTGGGACACACTCGCGGCCTCCAACAACTATGTAAGTTTGAATGGGCTCACCGCGCAGTTTCCTGCAGTTTGGACGAAACAAACCAAGATCATCAGTCTGGTTTTGTACAACAGACGATCCAGAATCTTTGTCGTCTGCGTAGCCCTCGGGCGTTTCAGCAGATGATAATATGATAATCCTTCTTGAGTCACGGACGCCAGGCCTAAACAGCACACTCTAAGTGGAGTCGAACGAATTCCCCCGTAGGTTTTTCCGAACAGCTCCTCTTCGGTCTGCACGGGTCGTCGCCTCAGCTCAAATAACACCCTTATCGCGCGTTTGGCTGCCCTTAGGTACTGTGAGGGTGGTTTCAACGGAGAGGCCATTCGGGTGCCAAGGTATTTCTGCTCCTCAACATTTTAAGGGGGTGCCCATCAAGGAGGTACCAGGAAGAGTCACCCTCCCCGTTGGTCATCGCGATACAAGGTCTTAAGACAGCAAACTCGCTAACGTTAAAATTCAGGAGCCAACGAGCAGATCGCCTGTTAAATCGGTGCAGGCTCCTTAAAGTGCGTGCTTAGTTTCATCAGACCAAACGCCTCCCCAAATTTCGGCATCGTCAGCGAAGAGGATGACGGTGCAACTGTTTTCACAGATGAAACGGACTTTCATCAGACTGACCCCCTACTGAAACAAACGGTGCAGCAATGGAAAGCATCACTTTCATAGAAGACGAGGTGACGGAGGAACTTCTTGCATATAGAGAATGTAAATTTAGGGGTCCGGACCAAATGCCAGAAAAAGTCCTGAAGGAGCATGATTGAGAGCTCTCTAGACCGCTCCCGCATATTTTATCGTCATCCTTTGATCGAGGCATTCTTCTCTGATTGGAAGATGGCGAATATATACCCCATTCACAAGTGTAGGTTCAGAACACTGGGGCCATCACTGCATTCAGTTTATTTAAATGATGTCGTCAATGGACTTGGCACCAAGTGAGTGATGTTTTCAGATGACATCAAAGTATGGCGAGCGATCAGATGCAATAATGATGAACAGCCTCTAATAGAAGAATTTAACCGCCCATGTGAATCATTTGACAAATGGTCGCTGAAATTTAACCTTCAGAAACTTATTGTACTGCGGCCAAAAAGAAAAAGAAACCAAATGGGGTGGATCCTCGATACCTCCCCTAGACGGAGGGTACCTGTCAGATGTGATTGAAGAAGACAATGGCATCACCAATTTATTCCTCCTGAAGTCCTCCTCTCAGTGCGTCAGGGTGGCGTAAAGGACAACTGGTGTTCTCTTTGCCATTAAAAGAACTTCCATGCGTATAGATAAAGAGATATTTGGAAGATTATATGGAGTCGTTATTTGTCGAAATCGGATTATGGAATCTAAATATGGCCTTCTCGGCAAAGAGGATTATAAACTGATGGCAAAAGTTCTAGTGAGGACGACCAAATTCGTAAAGGGTTTCAAAACTTATCATACAGATACAGACTTGATGCACTTGACTTATTTCCTCTGGAGCACAGATAGATCCGGATTGTAAGGAAATGGGCCATTATCCTGCAGACCGATGAGTTCTCCACATTGTACACAACAGCAGATCTGCATTGGAACTCCCTCAAACTTTAAGGAGTCCAATGTCTTTTGGATGTTCGTGAGTACCCGTGTCGCAACGAGTTTTCGGTATGTTGAACGGGCTTTTCGAGGACGTAATAGTGGCAGACTCGACAATGATTTTAAGGCGAAAACTGGATGCATGTTTTCTTGAAAAATACCGCCACTCCTGAGAGGAAGGGTTTATCACGCAAATCCGGCGTTTAGTGCATACCAATCCCTAACGCAGATGACTCTGATTCCATAGTTCAGTATATTTAATGGAGCTAGCTATAGAATTTGAAAGACGTATTTACAGGCAGAGGCTGAAAAGCTGTGCACATGTTTAAGCGGGCATATGGGCATATTATAGCAGCTATTGTCAAGTAAAGATATAGCCATCATGAAAAATGCTATCAAGCTCTTGTTTAAATGCCCAAGTGCTTTCGGCCACAATAAGAAAATTAGGTGTTTTTTCTAATATCCAATCAGCAAATGGGAGTATTAGTCTGCTCTTACTTCAAGTATGCGGTACTCTGACTCCATTTTATCTCAGTGGCCTAGGAGATTTTCCGTTTGCGGTAGTTGGTCCTTGATAAGTTTTAACGACCGTTGAACAATATGGTTAATCTGAATGAAAAGATTGCCATTCGCTCATCCTTCAGGATCGGGAAAAAGGTGAGCCAACAATGAAGATCCGCTGTCCGTTATCAAAGCCTAGGAAATCCTACCGACCTCAGTGTCTAACACGGGATCTCAAAAAGGAGATCGACAAGGACGGACGAATGTGGCAGAAATTTCGTGAAATCAACGATACTGCAACCTTTACAGAGTATAAAGTCCAAAGGATCAAGGTAAAGGACTAGATTTAAAATAGACACCGAGATTTCGAGAGTAGTTTGTTCCACCGAGCAGTAAAAAATTCAAGGTTGCTCTACAGCTACTTGCGGAAGAGCACTCGCAACAGGAATCCAATTACTGTCATGAAAAATGGTGACGTTTTGGGGATATCGGACAGCACAGACAAAACTGGACACTTTTCTTACTTATGCCTGTCAACTTTAACAAGAGAAGCCGTTTCTCTTCTGCCTAGTTATGAGAGCATGGAAGATCTGATTATTAAAAATATTGCAATTCAATAAAAAGCGATTTTCCAAGAGATGAAATTTTCGAAGGAATATAAATCTGCCGGAGCGGACGAGATTCAAACAAGGTTGTCCTTTGAACTTGCCGGGGACTTGGCCAAATCGCTATCCTTTCTGCGCCAGAAATGAATCAATGCCGGAAGTTTCCTTACTAGCTGGAAAACGACCCTTATTGCATCACTTGCCAAAAGCGGTTGCGCGCGCTTCCGATGAGCTACAAACTCGTCAGTTTGACACCAATCTGGTGCGAAGTCAGGGAGAAGACCATGAAAAATGAGTTAGTGGATTGTTTGGAATCCCACAAACTATTGTCCAATGCACAATTAACTTTCGCAGGGAAGACCGTGTGTAAAAAACTTGCTTTACACAGTCCGAAGCTAGAAAAGAGCACTGGAGACAAAGCACACTGTGCATGTAGCCTACATCCATTTCTGGAAGGCGCTCGACAATGCTCCGAACC